CTCTCTCTCTCTCTCTCTCTCTCTCTCTCTCTCTCTCTCTCTCTTCCTTTCCGAGTCCTGTCCCGTTGAAACGACAGCGGGGTGAGATGCAGGCCGAGAAGAAACGCGGCCGACAAGTGGCTGCTCCTCGCGAGCGGCCGCGAGCGTTCACGCAGGAGCAGCTCTGTGTCTTGTTGTGTCGGCGGGACGAAACGCGATTAAGACGCGCGATCGACCTCTACGATGCTCGAGATAATTCGAGTAGGAAGACCGCGTGCACGCGCGCGCGCGCGCGTTCAATATTTATAATGCGTGGCGGCAGCGCGCTCTTGTTTCTTCATCGTCGGAGGTATCTGCAACGTCCGCGCCGCGTATGGACGCGTGTACGTACGCATGTAGCTGTACGTGCGCGCACGAAGACGTTCGTGCTCGCCGCGACTTGAAGCATCTCGTAACGCCGGACTGCGCTTCCGTAACGCGGAACGATTCCCCACGTCGAACGCTTGAGCGCAATTTATATCGCAGTTGAAGGCTAATTCGATAACGCCTCGGCTAACTCGTTGTTTAATTTCATTTACCCTCGATAGTCGGGTCGTTTGCGCGCCCGTTCCGCCTGCGCCCCGGTGCTCCTCCGTGGTCATCGTGAGCTACGGGCTGCGACAAAGTGCTGGAAAATTCATCTCCTCTCTGAGAAATGGTCGGACCCAGACAGCACAAAATGTTCCCCAAACAGCACATGTACATCCAAAGGATGTACTTTGGACGTACTTCCCAGATAGCACACACACGTTTTAAAAATGTTTTATAAACGTTAGAACCAAACTTTTCATAACCGTTCCCAAAATGTTTCATAACGTTTATAATGAGCAAAAATGTCTACTCAAAAAACGTTGGGTGAAACGTTATTTTTGCGAAAAAAAATCGTTGAAGAAACGTTTTATAAACGATTCATAAATAACGTTTCAGAGAGGTTCTTGTTAAAACGTTTCTCATTGGTGCTTTACGGTTCTGAAACTATAGATACTTTTAAGAAACA